TTTTTAGTTCCACTGAATTCACAGAAACTTAATATTGTCACCTTATCCCCATCCTTCCAAGGGAGGATTTGAGATGGAGCAGCTTTTCACAGATGGTAGGAACATGAGCAGAGCTCAGAGCATCTGGCTCCCTGTCCTGAGTTGAGCCCACCAGGCTCCTCTGACCTCTTAGAAACAGTCATGAAGAGCAGCTTCACTAGTTCTCAAAGAATCAGATCCCTCAGAGGTTATGTAGAGATTATCTATCAGAGGCTTCACCCTGAGCCGCTTGAAGAGCTCAGAGGTATAATGGAAGAAGCATTCCTGACTCCCCATCAGTCAGCCCTGGATTCCAAGCCCAGCTCAGCAGCTTCCTGGTAGTGTAACCTAGACAATTTACTTAGGCTGGACCCTCCTTTACCTCTGCTCTAAAGTAATACTGGCCTCTACTTTCCTTTCCTTGCCCCCAGTGCTGGTTCAGTGTTGGCTTCAGATGAGGAAATTTATGCAGAGCCTATTGTTGTAGTAGGTGCCTTAACCTAGGCATTTGATGCCTACTGCAGGCTTCTGTCAGAGGAAGGCTGTCACCCCTGTTTTGTGGGGTATTATTTCCTTCTGCAAACAGAGACTTTATATACACAGGACTTATCCCACCCTTCTCTTTTCACTTCCTAAAAGTGTTTCAAAACAAGTTCAGTCTGTGGGTCCTGCTGGCTTTGGGCTTGGACTTTCATCTTTTTCTAGTCATGAAACTGTTGCATGTCTTAACTGCTCACTTCCCAGAAAACCCCCATGCCTGGCACCAAAGCCTGAGGTGCTGACAGTGAGCAAATATGGCTTAGATATGGGTTTTGCACTTTGGTGTATTTCTAAAAGCTAAGGGGACACATGTGTTACTTGAAGATGTTTCTTTTTCTCAACAGGTCTTTTGGCCTAAGATAGGTCACTGATAAATCATCACAACCAAGAAATGGTTTTGTGTTCTTTTTATTCATACAGAGTGGAAAAATAATTCCAGAGAGAAAATATCACTTGAGCAATTGGAGAATCCTTTTAAAAAATCCCGCTTGAATATCTACCAGTGGCTCCTCTTTGCCCTCAGGCTAAAACACACATTCCTTAGCATGGCTTTGAAGACCTTTTGGGCTCTGACCCCAGCCTGGCTCTTCTGCTTCATCTTTTCTACTTCATTCTTCCACCTCCCCTCAAGCTGCGATCAAACTCCTGCTTTTCTGTAAAGTCCCAACTCTTTGCTTTATGCTGTTCCCACTGCCTAAACACCGTTTCCTGTCACCATCCTTCCTTTGCTGGACCACTACTTGGTGCCTCCTTTGTGATCATTCCCTCTACCTTGCAGGCTTGAACTAGATACCCCTTTTTGATGTTCTGTGGCACTGATCACAGTGAGTTGTCATTGTTTACTTGGCTGTCTTATAAGTAAACGGCTCTTAATTCTTAGAGAGGACTTGTCTTAACTGTCTGTGTCTCTAGCACCTAGTAAGGTGTCTGGCATATGGTTGGTGCTTAGTAAATGTTCAGTAAATGAACAAATGAATGAATATTGCACTGAATTGTCAGGATTCTTTGACTCCTTAGGAATTCAAAGCACATTCCAGACGATCTCTTATCTATCCTCCCATCACCCTGGGGAATGGGGTGAAATCTGACCAGATTGTAGGATTAATTATTTTTGAACTACTGTCTCTACCACCCAGCCAGCCACTAGTGTGCTTCAGGGCCTCCAAAGACCTGGGGGTTGGGGAGCAGCAGGGAGGTACTGGCAGTAACCTCTCCCTATATAGTAGTAATAGTTGCTAACATTTATCAAGTACTAGGTGGCTGGGCACTCCTGAGGCCTTTGTATATATTGACATGTTTTAGGTTACAAACCCCTCAAGTATGTGACATTGTAATTTTCATTTTACAGTAGTAATATGTTTGTTCCTGTTATGTTGACCACTACACAGTACTTGCATGGTTGTATCATTATTATGTTGTGTAAACCCCTAGAAAGCCCCCATCCTACCTGCTGTGGCCAGCTTTCCTTTCCTAACCTCTTGTTCTTGGATTGTCTCCTGTTATTTAATGGAGCTGAGGAGCTGTGAATCTGAACTCCCAAGCCTCATGCTTTTTGGGATTTTAGTCTTGGGCTTGACCTCTGACCTTCATTAAGAGGGTCTCTTTGAAATTAGGAGACCGCTTCCAGTTAAGATAAGAGTATGGCTGGTTGATTCCAGAATGCCCAGAGTTCATTGCAGCCAGGATGCCTTAGTCTGATCCCCCCAGGTTACCATCTCTGTGGACTTGAGCTGGAAGATGGTAGATTTGGAAATCAGGTCTCAAAAGCTTTAAAACCAACCTTTCATTGTCCACTTTCAGCACTGAAAACCTTAGTTTCAGAGTTCTGTAGAGGAATAGACTTGGGTGACACAAACTTTTTACCACACCCTAATTGCTTTAGTGGTCTTAAGCATATTGAGAGCAGAATGACAAAATTTCATTATAGCCAGCTGTCGAATCTGCTTTTGTGGTCTTTATTCTCTGACCTCTAAGGGCTGGATGGCTGGATGTTGAGACACTGAGGACAGAACTTTATACATTGAACATTTCTTTCTTCCTTTCTTCTTTTCCTTTGTTCTTTCTCTCCCTTCTTTTCCTTTCTTTCCCTCCTGTGTGCCTGGCACTGGGCTAAGTGTGAGGATAGGTAAACAAGCCAGACAGTTTCTGTCCTTTGATCGCTTACTACATTCTAAAGGGGGGGACAGACAGAGAAGGAATAGAAAACAAATATAATAATTAGAGAAATGGATAAGCCATGAGGGAAACAGAAGCATAGCACCCAGCACCTGTTAAAATGTAAGTCAGAATGTTCAGAATTCTCAGTGGCTTCCAGCTCATTCATAGTGAAAGCCAGAGTCCTTACCTTGAACTGGAAGGCCACTTCTATTCTTTTCTGACCTCATAATGCACTGCCTCCCTCATTGCTCACTCAGCTCGAGCCACATCACCTTCCCGCTGTTCCTCAAAGGCCAGATACACTCCAACCTTTGCATTATTATGCCTAGACAGTGTCACATATCACCTTCTCAAGGAGGCCTTCCATGGGTACCCTCGTTAAATTTTAACCTCCCCCTCCCCCACATTCCCTATCCTCCTTCCCTGCTCTCCTTTTCTCCATAGCGTTTATCACTCTCTGAGATACTGTATGTTTTACTTATTTATCTTGCTTATGGTCCCTGTCTGCCATTAGGATGTATACTCCATGAAGGGAAAGATTCTTGTCTGTTTCATTTACTGCTACATACCCAGAATGTAGACCTGTTTATGACACGTGGGAGGTGGTTAGTAAACATGAATAGGACTACTGGAAGTGAGGACAAAAAAATTCCTACTTAGTGCCTGCAGGGATGGTATCTTTAAAATGATGTAATTTGAAGGATAAATTGGAGCAGCCACTCCAGAAGCCAAACAGGATAATCCAGGAAGAGGATCAGTAAGTACAAAGGCAGGGAAGAGCTTGCTAGTTAGAGGAACACAGAAGTTCCTGTGGGCCTGGAGGGTTACAGGCAGAGGGAAGGGCCTAGCCGTGTTCACATCATAGCCGGTGTCAACCCCCTGGATGCTCCTCCCCCAGCATTTGGACTCACACCTCTCTGGACACTGTGAGCTGATGCCTATGGGAGCAAGGGGTAGTGGTCTGGCCTCACCAAAGGAAGTAGCCAAAACATTTCTCCCATTAGAGATGTTTCCACCTGATCTTCTATTCTTTGCCCTTTCTCTTCTCTCTTATCATTTATTTACTTGCCTTATATTTATTGGCTGTAAAATGGGCTGTGGGGTCTGGCATTTTTTATTTCGATTTTGCCAAAATAGCTTGACAATGAGAGCAGATGTATTTCGGCTCCTGGCAAACCCTGTGATGGAACACTGGGAAGCTGCTCTCTAGCTCAGGTTGGTTTACAAAATGTGAAATGTCCCCAAGAGGAGAGCCAAGCACTAATCATTCAAATATTTTTTGAGTACCTCCTATTTGCCAGGTACCAGTCTAGGAGCTAGTAGTGAACAAAATGAACAAAATTCTTGTCATCATGGAATTTATATTATATATAGAGAAAAAATAGACAATATAAATGTATTTTATAGTATGCTGGTGATACATACTTCGAAGAAAAAACAAAGGGAGGGAAGAAGGACGTGGGGCATTGGTTGAGGATGTGTACAATTTGAAATAAAGTGGTCAGAGAAGGCCTCTGAAGGTGACATTTGAGCCAAGACTTAGGTGAGAGACTTAAGCCACGATTCTATTTGGAGAAAGAGCTTCCCTGGCAAAGTGAACCATGCTTGCAAAGGCCCTGAGGGGGAGCCATGCCTGTTTTGTTCAAAGGTCAGCAAAGAGGCCCATATAGCTGGAACTGAGAGAACGATGGGGAGAATAGTGGGAGAAGAGGTCGAAGAGGTAATGGTGAGAAGGATGTGTATAAGAGAGACAAGAGGTTATACATCTCATTCAGGGCCTTATAGGTCATAAGGTCCTGGTTGGGACTTTGGCTTTTACTCTGAGTGAAAGCGAGAACCACTGTAGGGTTTTGAACAGAACCACTGTCTGACTTAGATTGTAGTAGGATCATTCTGCCTATTGCTGAGGTGAGTTGTGGGGAGCAGTGTGAAAGCAGCTTGGTAGCAATCCCAGTGGGAGGTGATAGTGGCCTGGGGTCTGGTGGTAGTGATGATCCTGATGAGAAGCTGCTTCATGGAGTAAAGATTCATTCTAAAGTTAGACCCAGTAGGATTTGCTGATAGATTAGGTGTGGGATATGAGAGAGTGTATGTTGTTAAGGGTAACAGATTTTTTGGTCTGAGAACCTGTTAAAGATAATGTTGACAGTCACTAGATGATGAAGACTCCAGGATGAGCCTTTTGTGGGGAGGAGGGAAGCAGATCAGTTCTTATCACATTAAGTTTGGACTGCCTA